CATCTTGTAATATATCCAGAAGCTGAGATTCAGAGAAGAGAGCAGGGATTCTAAAAGAGATAGGGATGCAAAATTCACGAGTTAAATGGATAAGCAACAAAGTTAGCCCAAGATATTTTGTTGCCTTGGAACAGCAAATGGTACCTCAGTGTCAGCCACTCAAATTGAAGTACTTAGTATTAGCACTCATTCAGGAACATAAAGAATGGAAAGGAATGGACTTCGTTAGTACAACATTTATTTATTTATCAAATCTATACATCATGCATCTATCTAAGTGACTCTGGCAGTTTACAAATAAAAATCATAAAGTCTATACAAAAATAGACAAAATTAAAAACAAAGATAAAAAGATAAAAGGACAGAGGGAGTGCCCTTAAACCACCAACCATCACCTCCAGATTTACATTAAAATGCTAGTTGACAGAGCAGGTCTTAACACTCCTCCAAAAGGTAGACAAGTGGGGGCCAATCTTGCCTCAGGGAGCAAGATGTTCCATAGGTCAGGGGTGAGGGCAGAGAAAGCTCTCTTCCTTGATTCTGCCAGTCTAGCCAAAAAGGATACATTGGTCAATGGTATTGAAAGTGCCAAAAGGGTTAAGAAGAACGAAGATGGATGTACTACCAGAACCAGTGCTATTTCTGCCTCATATCCTCTCAGGAAGTGGTATAGATAATTTATTAATCCAGGAACTCTTGGAGCTATAGCACCACCACCTACTCAACCATCTTCCATAAAAAGGGAAAGTGAGAAATAGACTATTTGTCTGAATTATCTATAATGATGGGGTCCAGAACAGTCTTGAGAAGATGAGAAACCAATGCCACTTTAAAAGGACTCCCTCCCTCAAGGATAAATTAATCATTGCTTGGACCCACCCACGAGTCATGTCCCAGATGGCCTTGACCAGCCAGGAGCCACATGTATTTAGTTCATAGGTGGATGCACTTACGGTCCCAAGGACCCTATTATTTTTCATTGTCTTATTATAGTGCACTTCTAAATCAAACAAATAGGAAAAAAGCAGTCTTCTTGTTGAGCTCTGAAGATGATCTAAGTTTGCAGTTGATTAGTTTTCATTAATGAGATTAAATGATGCTTTTTGTCTCCAGAAGCTAATGCAAACAAAATCCATTTATCACCATGGCAGTAGTTCCTGCAACAAAGTTAATGACCACTACTGTTCTACTATCAAGCCAGTCAGAAATTAAGCTTTTTGTGCAGAAAAGCCAAATCTTGCAATCAATCATTGTCGACATAATAATACTGTTAAATACTCTGGAGTGGAAAGTAAAGTAACCTGGCCATTATCTTTAAATGCATCTCGGAAATGGTTTTCTTTGTGTTTATAGAACAACCCTTTTATGGTTAGTCTGGGAAAGTGGCATTCTTTGCAGCATGAAATAGCTGAAAACACTTGTCAAGAAGAAGTTCCTGCTTAAATGCTTTATGTGTGTATGGGGCAGGGATAGATGGACAGATAGATTAGATAGTAAGAGATATATAATTTATTTCCCAAAAGTGTAATGGCACTTATTTCTTATATCAGGGGTATTTTTTTGTGCCAAGTGACTCATCTAATAGAATGTCTTCCTTGCTTCTCTTTTCAGTTCAGAGACATACTTAAATCTTCAGTGACAACTCATTCTGTGCCAAAAAGCTTTCAAAAGCACCCAATATTAGCAAGGTGTTTGGGAAGTAGCATTGTTTAGCACCAGAAATCTGAATCTTTTGTCATTCTCCCACTTTGCCAATCTGGTGACTTTCATTCTTTGTAGTGATCTTGTTTGCAGGATGAGCAAAAATCCTGCTGCTTTTTTCTTCTTGTTGTTGTTGCTGCTGCTGTTGTTATAGTGACATCTCACAAATTCTAATTCGAATAATCTCATGATGTCAAATTGAGTCTGCATAGTTCACATATGATTAAAGGCTTCCCCTTGTTTAATTTAATGAGTTTGATTGCATGTCTTGAGAGTTCTAAAAAAATTTACATTGTTGACCTGACCAAAAAAAATTCTGGTTTGTGACTGTATGTTCTAGAACTAGATGTTCTCTTGCAAACAGAAAAAATGTAGCTTTTTAAAAGTGTGCATTTAATTGTGGTAATACAATGAAAAAATATCATAATGGCAATATTTATTTCAATCCAGTTAAGGCAGATGTAATTCCCCTTTGGCTTTTAAAAATGAAGTTAGCAGTTCTGGTTTAAAACTCTGTGTTGAAGTTTTGTTGCTTTAAGCTTGAAGTAGTTTATCTACTGAAATCTGTAAACAGATTAATTTCAAATATAGTTGATATTGCTGTGTAATGCAGAATAAATCATGTAGATAATAGTAGTTGCATGTAACCAACCCACCCAATTGTTAACTGTTGTTTCATTGGTTTTATATAAGTGTCATAGCATTAAACTCTTTTCCTTTCTTTTTCTTTTAGACATTGTAGGAAGACAGCCAAAATAGTTTATAACAGTAAAAAATCACAAATCTGGCATCATTTTTTCTAACTAACAAGTTGTATTGAAAGGCATAAATTTTTGTGAGCTGCAAATAAAATAATTTTTTAAATAAATCTGTTGGTCAGAAAAGGTGCTTCTAGACTCTAGTTTTTCCCACAATAATTTTTGTTCCTCTTTTTTTGTGAAATATCCTATTAGAATTGTTTATGCAGATTTTAAAGCAAAGGAAGACTATTTCAGAATCACAAATAATCAATATGGATATGTAGATTCCATTAACTTTCTTTAATGATGCAATTAATGTTCTAATGAAACATGATAAAAAAATTTATCTTTACAATCTAACACTAGGGATAGTAGCTACCAGTGTCTCTGTATCATGTCTTTTGCTAAAACCTTTGCACATTTAGCAGCTCTACCCATTTATTATTTCAATTTCAATTCTATTCACTTGGTTGGAACAGAAAATTGTTCACCTGATTGAAAAAGTTCTTAGTCAAAAATAAGAAGGTCACCCAAATGCACTACAGACTTTTTCAGAGCTTCAGATTAAATGCACTAAGATTTTTTTTTCAAATGTCTTGTAAATGGAGATGTCAAAATGGTACGCATATCCACAATATTGAAGTAACTCTTGAGTTTATGTTTTAAAAAAGTAGTGTCTTGAAAGAAGAGTATTGATTCATTTGATCATTTTAAATATTGGCATATACTGTGAATGGATCCCCCCCATGTCTTTTCCTTAGATAGCAGCTTTCTTGAACAGATCCTGATGCACAAAAAAATCATTTATAATTATTCATTCAGCCATGCATAATATAAACCAAAATTCCTCCTAAAATCCAATTCCCAAAGAATAATCACAACCAATGCACAAATATAGGAACTAACAAAAAGAAGTAATCCATAGGTCTTATAATTGGGCAGGTCACAATGTACATGCCTGAAATTAATGAGTACCAATAAATATCTGTACTGGCAATTCCTTTTATAAAACTTTCAACAATGCAATATTAACTTTTGATATTTACTATGTTGCCCAGTTAATTTGAACTGCACTTACTCTGTACATTTTCCTTTTATAATTCTCAGGTACCATCTGTCAAATGCCATTCACTTTTGCATGTTATAAAACATAATTGTAGAGATTTTTGTGTAAGTTGTTTGGAAGAATATTTTTTACGTCGGACAGATTGTATACTTTTCTGGGAGAAAGCATATGCAGTATGCTTGCTTTAAAATCTTTTTACAAGATTCCAGAAAAAATGTGATAGTAATATAGGAAAGTTGAATAGAATTACACCATCCAAGTAACATGATTTATTTCACTGCATGACCTTTGATTCCATTTAAGTAAAGCTTTCCTTCATAGTCACTATGAACCTTGCTTTATAAGATAGGAATGCTGCCTTCATCATTCTGATTTTACAGGGTTTTTTAATAGACTGTTTCTCTTTTATACACATACACACACCACTTTCACACATACTTATTTCATTTGCATAATGCCTGTAATTTATGAGCATTCATAATATAAATTTATTTCTACTGGATAGTCATTGATCTTCACTTAATATGACCTTGACCTGCATCTGAGTCATTGTCAAGAAAAAGCAACAGCAAGTGGATAAATGCTGCTTATATGTGACTGTTCAGATCACATAACACTTGTTTTCTTAAGATCTGGATGACCAGCTTCTGCTGACTTGAAGCTTGTTTTATTTTCCAGGCCACAATGCAAGGTGGGTTATGAGGGTAGTTTTATGTTAAACTCATGCTTCCCTCAGTAGAAGAAAAATTAGGTCATAAGACTCAAACTGTTTTTTCTGAAGAAATACAATTGCCTATGCACTGTGATTTCCTGTTGGTTTCGATGGATAATTCAGATTTATTAGTATACCATTTTTCTTAATCTAGTGAGACTATAAAACCTAATGATAGGTCAATATTATTATTGTGATTCATTGCACATTCAGCCAGATGTTTAAAGTAGATGTGGCATTTTTATCCATTTTGTCCTTCCTATGGACCTGGGATATGCAGATCTTGTTGTTTGATAGTGTTAAAGATATTGCCGCAGGATGTAACCTGTTTCAAGACAAGCTGCCTTTTGCGATTATTATTATGATTGGTTTCCCAGAGTTAGACTGGATTTGACATTTTTATCCACCTTTTCAGTTCTTCCCAAGGACCTGGGATAGCAGATGTTGATATTTGATGGTGTTAGACGTATCGTTGCAAGCTGTTCTGAGTACAGCTGCCTATTGCAATTGACCGATGGTGAATTTATCATTCAACTGGTGCTCCAGGTGTTTTGAGATTGCATCCAATCTATTACTATTGGTATTACTTCTACTTTCTTTTGCCACAGTCATTCTATTTCTACTTGCAGTTCTTTGTATCTTGTTATCTTCTATTATTATTAGACATACTGTAAACGATTGCTAACTATACTATGCTAACTGTACTAAAAATATAGCTTCTGTCTTTGCCTTCTTGATTAACAATCTGTTACTCTATTTTATATGTATTTTCTCTTCACAGTGCCACCTTGGGCCTTAATAGCCATAGCCATAGTTGCCATCCTATTAGTCCTTACCTGCTGTTTCTGTCTGTGTAAGAAATGCTTGTTCAAAAAGAAAAACAAGAAGAAGGGCAAGGAGAAGGGAGGAAAGAATGCAATTAACATGAAAGATGTAAAAGATTTAGGCAAGAACTTGAAAGATCAGGTAAAGTATATACTATGTTCTTAAATTTATACTGTATTTGAATATTTAAATGCACAGACTAAGATAATGATAGTATGTACTATATTAAAAATTGACTAGTTACAATTGTTATAATGGAATTTTTTTAAATTTCTGTCACACTATTTTCTTGATCAGCACCCTTAATTTGAGTTTGAGCTGCTATAGATGCAGCTCTTGGGTGTTTTCAAACTTGTAGCTCAGGTTTAGAACATCTGAAGTTTATTAGGTGTACTAGGTTTACAACACATAATAGGTGTTGATATTTCTAAGGAGTTCACAACATAGTAACCAAGATGGCTGAGTTATCTGTCATCTCACAAACCCACATTGATATTCCCCCTCAAGGTAATGTTTTATTTATTTATTTGGTTTAAAATTTTGCAGAGTCATCAAATTTGGTAAGATTTTGGTAATCTTAGGTGACAAAACACCAGATGAGAACACCAAAATCAGGAATAAGCGTTTGATTACTACTTAAAATTTCATGACATTTGAGGTGGTTTAAGAATATCTAGCCATCATATTGTATGTTGGAATCCAGTGTCTGAAAAAATTGCCAACCAATGGACAACCAAGAAAATTATTATTTTATTGATTGATTATCTGCTATTAAGGCAGTGTTGTTGATTCTTAGCAAACCCATAGTAAAACTTTGTTCATGATATGTCCCTAACCTGGTCCTTCAAGTCTTCCAGAAGCATACCCATTGCCACTGTACCATTCACCTTGCTGCTAGTCTTCCTCTTCTTTTCTTTCCTTCCAGCTGTCCCAACATCAGAACCTTCTCCAGAGAGCTAGGTTTTTACATAATGTATCTAAAGTATGATAATTTGAGCCTGGTCATTTGTGCTTTAAGTGAGAACTATAGATTGATTTATTCTTTTATATGCATATTTAATTAGAAATAACCACCAAGTTAGTATCTAGTGCACAAATAAAAGATATTCTGTTATTCCTTCTGTAGCATATTCTTCTGGCTCCTTAAGCCTACTTGTAATAAGGTATAGGCCAGATTATTGGGACTGCCATTTCTTTACCCCAAATTAACTTCAGCCCATCTTAAAACATGAATAAGGCTTTTTGATCAAAGTGTTTGATTTTTTTTTCACTTCTTTTTAAAGCAATGATTGCCAAATACTCAGAGGTAGGATTCACTTATCTTCCCTACCGGTTCACAAATGTGAGCGTGCACCATTTCTGCACATGCACATGGCCTTCTGCGCATGTGCAGTAGTCACACATTATGTCCGGGCAGGTGGGTAGGGCCTCCCGCAGTCGCCACTACCAGTTCGCATGATCCAGAGAGAACCAGCTGAATCCCACCACTGCAAATACTAGAATATAAATGGTAAAAGTTACTCCTCTTATTTCAAATTTTCATTATTTGATGAAAGAGGAAGAGAATGAAGAATAGCTTTTCATTGATACCATTATCTGTAATCAATTTATATCACTGTTATATGAATAGGTTTCTATGCATTCCATCAGCCGGGGTCCCAGGGGAGGGGTGGGGGGGTGGCGGTTCTAGTAAAGGAAGGTCTCGCCCCAAGGGAGGCCACTGTACCTCAGATAGCCGGATGTGAGTCCCTCCTTGTGAAGTGGGGACAAGGGAGGCAGATGGGCTTGCTGATTATGTACCTGGCTCCCTGCCACATGTCGGCAGCCCTGCCCGAGCTCCTCAATGTGATTGCCGAGGTGGCAGTGGAGACCCCCAGGCTTATGGTCATGGGGGACTTTAATCTGCCGTCTGTCGGCGAAGCGTCTGAGGCGGCTCGGGAGTTCATGGCTTCCATGACGGCCATGGACCTGACCCAATTAATTTGTGGACCCACGCACACAGGAGGACACACTCTGGATCTGATTTTTGTCTCTGGGCAGTGGAAGAATGATCTCGAGATAGGGGAGATAGTGATTAAGCCCTTGTCATGGTCGGATCATTCCCTTCTTAGGCTTGACTTTCTAACCACCACCACCTGGCTCCAGGGTATTATCAACGCTTCTTTGAGCGAGGGTGTCTTGCCATCCGCCTTGAAAGAGGCAGTGGTGAGGCCCCTCCTCAAGAAGCCTGCTCTGGATCCAGCTGTTTTGGCTAACTATCGTCCGGTCTCCAACCTTCCCTTCTTGGCGAAGGTTGTTGAGAGTGTGGTGGCGCAACAGCTTCCTGGGTACCTGGATGAAGCTGTCTATCTGGATCCGCTCCAGTCCGGCTTCAGGCCTGGGCACAGCACGGAAACGGCATTGGTCGCGTTGGTGGATGATCTCTGGAGGGCTCGGGATAGGGGTTGTTCCTCTATCCTGGTCCTGTTAGATCTCTCAGCGGCTTTTGATACCATCGACCATGGTATCCTGCTGTGCCGGTTGGAGGGGTTGGGAGTGGGGAGCACTGTTTTGCGGTGGTTCTCCTCCTATCTCTCTGACCGGTCGCAGTCGGTGTTGGCAGGGGGGCAGAGGTCACCCCGAGGCGCCTTGGTTGTGAGGTGCCTCAGGGGTCGGTCCTCTCGCCCCTTCTGTTCAACATTTATGTGAAGCCGCTGGGTGAGATCATCCGTGGCTTTGGGGTGGAGTTCCATCAGTACGCTGATGATACTCAGCTGTACATCTCCACCCCGGGCCATCCCAACGATGCCCTTGAAGTGATGTCCCAGTGCCTGGAGGCCGTGCGGATCTGGATGGGGAGTAACAGGCTCCGACTCAACCCTTCCAAGACCGAGTGGCTGTGGCTTCCGGCGTCCCGATATAGCCAGCTGGTACCATCGCTGGCTATTGGGGGCGAGTTATTGGCCCCCACGGATAGGGCTCGCAACTTGGGCGTCCTCCTGGATGCACGGCTGTCTTTAGAAGAGCATATGACGGCCGTGGCCAGGGGGGCTTTTTATCAGGTCCGCCTGATTCGCCAGTTGCGTCCCTTTCTGGATCGGGATTCCTTATGCACAGTCACTCAGGCACTCGTCACTTCCCGCCTGGACTACTGCAATGCTCTCTACATGGGGCTCCCCTTGAGGAGTACCCGGAGGCTCCAACTGGTGCAGAATGCGGCCGCGCAGGGGATTATGGGAGCGAGGGGTCGCTCCCATGTGACACCTCTCTTGCGTGAGCTGCATTGGCTTCCAGTGGTCTTCCGGGTGCGCTTCAAGGTATTGGTTACCACCTTTAAAGCGCTCCATGGCATAGGACCTGGGTACTTGCGGGACCGCCTTCTGCCGCCGATAGCCTCCCACCGTCCAGTACGCTCCCACAGAGAGGGACTCCTCAGGGTGCCGTCGGCCAGGCAATGTCGGCTGGCGACCCCCAGGGGGAGGGCCTTCTCTGTGGCAGCCCCCGCCCTCTGGAACGATTTGCCCCCGGAGATAAGAAGGATATCGGATCTTCGGGTCTTTCGCCGAGCCCTGAAAACACTTCTTTTCCAGCAAGCAGGGCTGGCGTGAACCCCGCCCCCTTTTTAGTTTTTAATGGTTATTAATTGTTTAGTTTTAATCTGTTAATGGTTTTAATTCGCATTGTTTTAATTCGGGCCAAAGTATATAATTCTTTTAATTAATTTTAAATTTTGTATTGTTATGTATTTTAGTTTTGGCTGTGCACCGCCCTGAGTCCACTAGGAGAAGGGCGGTATATAAATTGAATAAATAAATAAAGAAAGAAAGAATAGCCCTTAGGTTATGTATATTGCTAGTTACTGGTAAATTCTATTGGGGGTGCTACATAAATGCCCTTTAACAACAGCACCCTTCCTCCCAGTGAAATGTGAATGTTGGTGTCATGGAAATGCATCTTTTGATTTGTTAAGCAAGTGTTTGCAGAAAATAAAAATGCTCTATAAATTTGATAAAACCAATATTCTAAAGGAGCGTTATTGCAATGGAAGAACAAATGAATAGCACCTAAAGAAAAGTGAGCTAGCCCACACGAAGAGTTTAGAATTAAAATTTCTTTGATAGTTTTTATATTCTTGTATTAAGCAGTTCTTGTTATAAATGTTACAAATGTAGGAGATAAATTTGTCCTATTATTTATACACTAATAACATATTGGTAGAAACTTGAAAAGGTTAGAACTTTATTACTTAGCTCTATGGTTAAACAAATATGAGCCCACCAATCTGGATAAGTTTAAGGAAAGGTTCTTTTGGGATTTTAGGATTAGCGAAAACCATTTGTTGCTTGAGGCAAAGTAATAAATATTGTTCAGTCATCTTGATCATCAGGTAAGTTATTCCAGCAGTTAATGTGGAAACTTACTCAAGAATCTGTCCTTGGCTGTAGATATCAAACAATAATAAATAAAAATAACTAATTATATTTGATTTAAGAAAACATCCACCCACACCCAAATCACTTTCCTGGAGGAAGTCTTATTCTAATTAATGGTAGAATTTGTTTCACTTTTCCAGTAGACCCTTCTACTTTCTGCTCACTCTTGCCCTGGACAAAACTGAGATAAGGGATGAAGGTGCAATTTTGCCAAAGGCCACTTCCTTTGTCCCTGAGATTTTAAAATGTTAGCTGTTCCTCAAAGGTACATATTTACACTAATTAGGTCAAATATATATTTAAACTATAGTGATAGAAATCCTTCTGTTGCTCTGGAACTGACATTATAATCAGTTATGTTCCAATAGAAGAGAATATGTATAGCTCAGGGTTGAACAGTGGAATCCTTGGTGCTACTGAAGATGTTACCTAGTCAGGTAATGAAATGTATGCAAACAAAAAGCCAAGCCCCAAGAACACCAAGAACTCATTTTCATTGTTTAACAGTTGTATTGGATTTTACTCAATGCACAAGTAACTAATACAAGAAATACAAAATCGTCATTGTTCATCTCTTATCTCTCCCTTTCATTATGAAGTAAAAGATGTAGTCCAACACTATGGTTCAATAATTCAGTTGCATTATAGCATGGGATCATCATTTTCCTTGAGGTGTCCTCAAGAGTGAGAGACAGACAGACAGAAAAATAGATGAATTTCCTATTAGCT